TTCCTGGTGCTCCAAGAGCTGTTTTCTGCCCCCTCTCTGGTCCAGACAGGACATGTGAGCTGAGTCCATCATCCTGTGCACTGGTAATCCCATTTCGCATCCAGCATTTCATATTCAGGCGATGTTTAAGCAAATGAAATCCTCCAAGCAGCTTATTGCAAAATGATTGTGTGCATGTACTTGAGCATGTGTGACTTGAGACACAACAGAGGGTTGAACTCCAGGCTGGGAAAGCCCTGGACCGACCTGACTCCTTCAGTGGGAGCAGCTGCAATCTGTCTGTAGGTCCTTGATACTTGTCAAAGCACAGCACATTGCATAGGGAACAGTGCTGCTGTAGCAGTCCTGAAAATGAAAAAAATGTAGTTGGTGGATCTTACTTGAGATTCTCCTCTAGGCAGCTGTTTCTACACAGCCTGAACAGGAGCCAGGAAGAAAAAGGGAGGTTTTTCACTGGCTTTGTTCTTGCCTTTGCTTATTACCGAAACCATTTGTAATTAAACGTGGACTTGCTCACTCAGCCCAGCTGTTGCTTTTCTGTTTGATCCTGCCTGAAATTACAGTGGTGGACGTGTGACCTCCTAGGCCTTTTCATGCCTTGTAGGCTGGTATAAACACAGGGTACAATTTGCCTTTGAAGCAAACAGGCACCGCTCCCACGGAGTTCAGGAGGTGCTGTGCTTGCCGACCCTTGGGCTGAGTTGGGTCTGCAAGGGTTTGGACCTTGGTACAAGACTTGGCAGGAAGAGGCACTGCAGGAAAGCTCTGACCCAGAGACACATACTTGTCCTGAACAAAGAAAGCGATATAAACTCTAGCCTGTTCATGACGGATGCCTTCCTCCCCAGCCTACAGTAGAGCAGTTCACATGGACTGACAATTAATTGGTGTGAAAAGCTTCAGGCCTTTGCTTTTAAAAGTCGTTTACTCTAGTGCATGCTGATGTTTGAGTAGAGGGACTCCAGCAGCAAGACATCTGTCCATGGCTTTTCTCCTGTCTTCAGTGTGCAGGAGGAGGCTTGGTGGCAGTCTTTGTGGGAGGATAGGGATGGTGGGAAAGCCTGGAGCCTATTTGCAGCATCCTGACCTGTCACTGTGATTTCTGAGCTAGCCTCCTCTCTCCAGCCTGGCTCTTCCTAGGAGCTGCTTTGCATCCAAAGCTTTTTCTTGCAAAAGGTGCTCTTTCTGCATGGGTTGGTGGGACCTAATTGAATCCCTTTGCTATCATGACCAAAACTAGTTACTTGAGATCATAAGTGGACACTGGTGAGACAGGCACAGGTGCTCAGCTTCTGAAATCCTCAGATGATCGTGAGCAAGTGCTGCAGCACTCCCATGCCTCCAGGGAGCAATTTCATTTCACAGCAATCCCACGGGCTTTTTTTCTTCAGAAAGCAGCAAATTACAGTCCAGTTTCAGCTCAGCATCAACTGCAAACAGTTACTTAGCTAAAACTCGAGCATATTTTTCTTGTACGGTCTGAGTAGGGATGCAAATAAAACAAGTAATCCAGACCTTTGGGGGAGCTCGAGGGAGGGGGTTTTTCAGTAGTTACTTAAGCACTTGAATAGCTCTGTTCTTCCTGGTGAATTCAAAGCTTCGCATCTTTCTCCTGCTCTTCCCTTACTGTGCTCCAGAGAGCGCTGTTCTCCCAGACGGAGATCCAGCCCCTTGCACCACAGCCAAACGTCTGGGTGTAGTAGCATAT